ACGCACTGCCCTCCACCCCCCACAGAGGCAGCCTCCACATGCCAGCCTCCACGTGCCAGAGTGGGCACAATAGCTGGAGGCCCCAGAAGTCCAAAAGCAGCAAGGAAACACACTCACTGTCAGCTTCAGAGGCCAAGACCATAGGCCTAAGAGGATCACTCAGCTGAAGCTTATACTCCAGATATTAATAGCAGCAACTCTGTGGCCTGTACAACCCCCAGCCAGCCAGCAGTCAGTGTGCGCTACCCTCCTGTGTGTAGGCTGGCATGCTCAGCACCCTAGCTCCTTGGATTCCCAGGAAAAAGCACAGGTGTCCCTGCCCACCCCAGACACAGAACAGGGGATCTGAGGACCCTGCTGGCCAGACACTCTGTCAGTGCTGAGCCGGCACCCCACCCTTGGCAGCAGGGTGCCTCGGACAGCATAAACAAACCTGAAACTCTACCCTCCCCACATCCGAGAATAACTGCCCTCCCCTCCCCCCAGTCCCTGGGAGGTCCTTTTGCCCACTTAAGTGCTTAGCATCAGCAAGGACACAGCCGCCACCTCCCTCTCCCCAGCCTGGAGGATCAGCTGACGGATGGGACTTGCCCAGAGGGTTCTGCTGGCCCAGACCTTCCTCCAGAGTGGGGGACTGCTGTCTGGCTTCCAGCACTGAGACGGGGAAAAGGGAGGATTCCACACGGGCCTCAAGCTGGTGAAAGGGCCGCTCCTGGGAGCCGCCCTGGAGACACCCTCCCCTGGCCACAGGTAACTGGGTGCTTTCCCTCCAGAGGCCCCTGAGCCAGGCAGGCCTTACCCCAGATGTCCCCAAAAGCGAGTCCTATTGGATCCCACCCTCAAGGGCTGTCTTCACGCTAGCACTGGCAGGACCTGGCCCACACTCAGGGAAGTTTGTTGGGGGTTTTTTTGTTTCTTTTTGGGTCCGGTGGTGGGGCTCTACTCTAGGCCTGGACGCTGTTTCTCAGCTCTTCAGCTCAAGGCTAGCACTCAAGGCTAGCCACAGCGCCACTTCTGGCTTTTTTCTTTTTGCTTATGTGATGCTGAGGAATGGAACCCAGGGCCTCATGCAGGCAAGGCAAGCGCACTCTACCACTGAGCCACCTTCCCAGCTGTCCTGGGCAGGGTGCCCAATTGGAGCTCCAGGAAATCAGTTTACTGACTTAGCAGCTTACTGCCTGAGAAGCAGTGGGGACCCAGGCTGCTGAGCCTGTCCTGCTTGGTCCTCACTTCCGCTGGCCAGAGCTATGGGTAAAGACCAAGATTCTTGGGCAGTCAGAGTCACCAGCCCTGAAAAGGGAGGCCTGAGTCCACGTGTGCAGCTAGTCTACTCCCAAAAAGAACCCCCTGCCTCCAGCCCATCAGTCCCGCCCTACTTCCCCTAACTGTGCATCCTGCGCTGCAGTTTCCTCGGGGTGGGGGTGGCCTAGTCATCTCTGCACACAAGCACCCGGCTCAGGCTTCGCTCTCTGCTGGCCAGTCCTGCAGAGCCATGTGGAGTGGGGCTCTGGCCCCTCCGGAGACCCCACTATCTTGCCACCGCTGGCCCACTGGGTACACAACACATAGGTTAGGGACAGACCAGCATCCCACCAAAAAAGCGGGAGACTTGTAGCAGTACCTCACCGGCAATAAAGGACCACGGGTGATGACACAGAGGCCTGGCACACAGCCCCATGCCAGAAAAACCAGAATCAAATGTCCACCACGGAGGCTGTGGAGGGGAAAGCTCACCGCCTGGCCGTCCGCCGCCTCTCCCGGCCTCGCCCCCAGCCCCGCGGCCCAGGGCCGCTCTCTGTCTCATGCTTTTTCTTTTCTTTTTTGGTCGGTCGTGGGGCTTGAACTCTGGGCCTGAGTGTTGTCCCTGCGCTCTTCAGCTCAAGAGCGCTATCACTTGAGCCACAGCGCCACTTCCGGTCTTCCGGTGGGTCATTGGAGTTCAGTCTCAAGGACTTTCCTGCCCGGGCTGGCTTTGAACCGCGGTCCTCAGCTCTCAGCCCCCGGAGCCCACACAAAGCCGAGCTCCTCGGAGAGAAGCCGGAGGGAGGAGCAGCCCGATTCAAAGCTGGGTCTGGGGACAGATGCCCAGGGAGGAGCCGGGGCCGGCGCTGCCTGGAAGCGGTGCGGCACCGGCTGGGCAAGCAGGGCCTCCACCTTGCCACAGCCAGCCCGCGCGGGACAGCGACAGCGGGGCGCCCGGACCAGCAGGGCGAGCCCGGCCCGGCGGCGGCCGACTCCAGGCTGGAGACCCAAGAGCTGCCTTGGGCGTTTGAAAACCTTACCTGAGCGCGGTGAGGGGCGCG